GAAATGCATAATAAACTATTTAGAATTCGAACTTTTTGGATATATGTGGGACAATCAGAGAAAATCAGTTTCGATTCGTAAGGTCAACACATCCAACTTTATTAAAAAAAGTTTTTTTTCGATAAGATAGTCAAATAAACTAATAATAAAAGGAAACGCTGAACTTTTTCCTTAGTTGAATGCAAATATCTCAAATTATTTAACTGGTGTTACGACTTCATCATGATTGATTTCTGTGCATTTACCGCACAACTAATAATGAATGCATGCAACCAATAATAAATCCAGACTTATCAAATCTACGAAGCACAATTAAATATAATGCTCAAACGATTATAACAGACCTATTGGAACATATTATGTTATAATGTTATACAAAGCAATCAATCTTCAAGTTTGTAAGAGATTTTATCTGTAAAAAGGCGTTAAGCATGCGGTAACGACAAATTACATTTATCAGATCGATAGTTTGAACAAGTCTATTTATGATGTCCATTGTAACAATATGAGATGCTCATCAGTATGAAGTGGAGTTTTGAAGCCCACAAATGACTCTAAACCTCACTTACCAAAGCCTCGAAAATCTATATCTGAACTTAACTGACAATATAGAGTACTTTTCCTTATATGATTACAGTTTGGTATTACCGCTTTTAAGGTCCCAATGACACCAAATTATCATCACTGACAATCACAAAATGTTTGACTGGTATGATTGAGCTACTTAAAACTATAAAAGTAGCATGGATGATTACGAATAAACTTTAAGCGATGGCAGGGTACTTACAAATGAAAAGGAGAGCAGACCTAAAAATTGCAGCGTGATAAGAAATGAAGCTAAAAAAAAAGCTAGGTACTGTCAAATAATATGAATCGAGTAAACCACTTGCCACCTGATATATCTATCATTCGTTTCTAAAGTCACCCTCCCACATAATATCTGTTATTTCTGATTTGATACCTTACACTTACCACTGAGTTGTGACCAACATCAAATTTGTCTAGTCACTAGTGCTGACAAAATTCCGTTAATCAGGTTTTAATATATCCAATACTCTAAGTGACTGAGAAAACGAAATTAAGTACAGTAATCTTCATTACATATAACTTTTATGGCAGTGAGACATACCATTGTTCATTTCATCTCTACATTATTCTTTACAACCCAACTCTCATTTGTAGTCCCTTTTCTACTAATCCTTATGAAAACATTTACACCACCAATACCTAATAAATAAGTGCCGCGGGCAAGCGCCTAATGCAACATATGAGGTGTTGTTATTACCAAGATATCCTGTTCTGTTCTTAGTTAACTATAAAGGAAAAGGTGACATCTGCTAGTAAACTTTGGTAGGAAGGTTAGAAGAGCTAGCTGTTGTGATTTTCAAATTATTGTATATCTGTTCAACTCATGAGTATGAATGCAAAGACAAAGAAGACTAGGATGGTTTCCTTGATCATACACATTTGCAACTTTTGTTCTTACTTTTCACCAAATTTTATGCACAGATTGTTTTTACTTTGAGACGGCTTGGTTGGAAAGTAATATTCTCTAAGTTATATGTGTAAATCTTTAAACTGGAAATTTAGTGCTATTATGTATACGGACAATAAGCAAACAGTATGGAGGAAATTCCATAAGATACTTAGCGAATCTAGAAATACATTGTGGTCCATCGGACCAATGTCAATATAATTTATTGCACTAAGACAAGTAACACTAATTATTAAATTACACTCCAGTCCTCTTTAGTAACTCGAGTCATTTTTTGTGTCAGTGAGCTCATACTAAGCAACATAGGAGGTAGCTAAAGTAAATGTCAACAGTAGACGATCATATTACAACAGAATGTTAAGAGAACCTAGTAAAATTAACATTTTATGACCTGTAAGCATCACTTCAGCACAGTAAGTAATATAATATCTAAAATCTTAGCCTCGCAATAATACTTCGACGTCTAACTACAGCTTGTGAAGAGCTAACCCAAGAAAACGTGTCGTTTCATACCTAAACGTAGGGGTATAGACGAAATCTTCACCCTTTGACAGACTCTGCAACATAGACATACTTTTCGACATCAACTTTAGTTACATCCCTTGACGATCATGCGGCGTTCGGCTGCGTTAATTGTGAGGTCCTGTGGCGGTGTGTCATTGTAAGGCGTAGCAAGGAAGTAGATTAACCTTGTACATGCTCTCTGCTCAAACACTATTGGTCGAGTAAGAGCTGATGGTGGTTACGTTCCCTAGGTATTAACAATTGACTACCGTCAAGTACAAACTTTCTTGGTAAAAAAGTAGCGAAGTAACACCCACTGAAAGAACTGTACTCCCAAGCAACATATATCCTTGCGATCGAATAGAGATAACGGTGGAACCGAATTGCTTTTCGCACCTTGAACTCACATTCATACTGGTATAGAAGTAGAGCACTGGTAAACTCACATTATTTGAAAGTTGAGAACGGCCTGCTCCAGTGTACAACGTTAGATAGTGTAAGTTGGAAAAAGCTTAGGAGCGACTAACACTAAATATCCCATCGACCTGTGAAATTGCCAACCGCTGAATTGGGACGTATCAGGTGAATTTTTCCCTACGGTCAGCACGATAACCCCCATCGATGACTTAAGACCTTAAATGAATGCGGTCGCAGTGGAGTAGGTGCAATCACTCCTGATAGTCTTCTAAGTTTTGAGCCTGAATGTTAAATTAAGCTTTTAATCCCTCTATTTTATTTCTTTGTTCAAAAGAGAATTTTAAACTTAGTTAACTCATAAAATCAAAAAATACATATTAACTCCTTAGTTTTCTTTCGCTGTATTGTGATATGTCAACTTGGGTCGATGCATAGTTCTGCCGAATCCTCTGTTTATGAGTGATTAACATTGATAACTTTCTATGTCTTTGATACTGGTCCAACCACCCAGATCTTATCATTCTTTTTAACCGGATGTAAACTAGTAGTAAGTCACCTAATGAAGTAATCATCAACAGCTCAAAAATCTATTCTAAACAAAACACCACTAAATACTCCCAGTGTATATATCGCTAGACTAAAATAACAAAAGTCATTGACGAAATTTAATTCATGTGCGAGGATCACAATCTAATCAGTGATACCTAAATTGATTTATAGTACTGAAAAACAAAAACCATTACAGATAATTACGATTCATTATTATTATTATCTGCAAATATCTAATCGTTTCAAAAATGTAAAATTGACCATGTATTTTCATATTGTTTTCAATAGCAAGGTTATGTCAGCCCAAATGTTTGGAAAGCAAATACACAAGATATTATACACTCAGCATCCTCAGTAGACTGGACAACATAGCCCAGAAGTGAGGAGTAGTTCTACTCATTAGCATTACTATCCCCCTTACAGTTGTCGTTGATATGTCTCATGGAGGTGGAGCGTGCCAATTACTTCAATGCCGCTTGAAATGAAAAGACAAAAGCCGATTATTAGTTTGGTATACCGCAGTCCAAACTGTGAAGTGAACGAGATCTTGTTAGATGGTTCAAACAATGGGTTCTTCAAGAGGTCGTTGTCTAATCTTAGGAGACTTTAATGAACCAGAAGAATTTGAGGACTGAGCTATCATATAATTCTTCTAAACAGAAACTAGTTGACACGGTTATCACATGTGCCCTAGTGCAAAGAAGCAATTAAGTACGACCTGAACTCCGAATCAGACTTATTAGATCTCACAAAACGCGCTGTGTTCCCCCCATAAGTAGGAGTGACCATGCAGTCCCAGTCTCTGATTTCCATATAGTTTTCAACAACGGTACGTCGACCCAAGACAGACCAAACATCTGGAAAGCAAATATACGATAAATTACACACTCAGCATCTTCAGAAAATCGGACAATAGAACGAGAATCCCGAATTGAAATGGCTACTGCACCGCACATCCCTTGGTCTACACTAAGGGGTCCAAGAAACTCTCCACCGTGGTTCAGTAAAGAGGTTAAACAGGCTTCTCCATAGGAGAAGAACGTGGGAGTCAGGCTACTGGGTGATGACGAGACAAATTCTTAATGCCAGAAAATCCAAAATTTTTGTCTTCATTCTCCGCAAGTCCAGGAGATTGTATGAAGACAAGCTTGTTAAGGAGTCTATAGAATACTCTAAACGCCTACATTTGTGCATAAATCAAAAAACTAAGAGAAGAGGCAAAAATTACAGCATTATTGGGAGAAAGTAGTACTCCATCATTAGTGGAGGACGATTATAGTAAAGCCTAGATATTCTCGAAATACTTTAGTAATGTATATACCTAAGAGATGCCCCCATCATTTCAGGCAACCCCTTACATACACATTCCAGACACCGTAGCCACTAAAGAAACTGATTTCGTTAGCCTGCTAAATGAGCTTGACATAGGTAAATAAAAGGGATTCAATGAAATGCATCCACTGTCACTAAAGGAATTAGCGAATTTTACTCCATATCCCTTCAGCACATGTTTTAATCTATCTGTAACCCAGGGTCGATTACCACAGGTCTGAAAGAACGCCATAGTTAATCCTGTCTTCAAAACAGGTATGAAACACCAACCTGAGAACCACAAACCTGCAAGCCTAGCCAGTATGGTTGTTAAAGTTTAGGAAAGGTTATTCGGAAGTTTTTTAAGTATCTAGACAAAAACCGGATTCTTTCTAAAGAACAGCATGGCTTTAGAACAGGTGACTCATGTCCCAAAAACTTATTATTAGCCCTTGGAAGTTGGTGAACTATTAAATACCAAAAGCTACCAATAGATGCAGTCTGCACTAACTTCAGTATGTCTTTTGACAAAGTTCCTCTCAACCGGCTTTTATCTAAGCTAAGTAATATCGTGATTGGAGGCAATTTATTTATGTGAACAAAGAACTTCCTAGTTGGGTGTCAACAAAGAGTACATGTGAACTCGAAATTGCCTAGCTGGAGAATGGTACTTAGCAATGCGTCTCGCAGTACAGTTATGGGGCGTGTTGTTACTCCTGTATGTAAATGATCTTCCTAGTCTCCCACCGTTATCGGTTTTGTAATACTCTCACGACGTCAATATATGGTGAGCGATAAAATGGAGATAGTTTAGGGCTTCAGAATAACCTGGAGAAATGATCTGAATGGTCAAGAATCTGGCAGTTGCCGATAAATGCTTCTAAGTGCATTATGATGTGCATTGGTCACTAAGGTACAGATACATACACGGTAAATAACGTGAAGCTACCTGTTGTCCAGACAACCTAGAAATCGTCGTTAGCCAAGGCATAGAAACTGCCACACGCTGCCATGTGGTAGCCGCTAAAGGTTTCAGAACCGTATGACCGATACATAGTCTTTAGCAATGTCGATGCTAAAACCTTCTTGAATTTTTATACAGTATTCGTTCATCCTAAACTAGAGTGATGTATTAAGCGGCTAGACCCTGACAAAAACGACGGTGAGATGTCAGAAAAGGTTCAAGAAACTGGTTGGTTCCTAGAGTCGCAAAGCTCCCGAATGATGACAAACTGACCAGACTAAACTTATTTACCTTGTCATATTGAAGAACCAGAGGTGACTTGATCACAACTTATAAATTACTTAATGATAAGTTTGCATCTGATATGCCCTCACTCTTCTTATCCCCAAAAACAGAAAATTCACGAGAACACTGAGAAAGTTTACAAAGCTCAGGACAAATTACTTGTCAGCTAACGAGTGACTTTCCCATCAAATCATCAACGGATAGGACTCGTTACTTCAATACGTGGAGTTACATCTGTCGACACTCTCATAAGAAAGTCGGATCAACTGAGATCTCCAAAAACAATGAGAACATAAATTACCAAGAAAATTAGAAGGCTAATAATATGACAACTTGAACATCAACATATACATTTTGTAGATTTAAACACCAGAATTCAGAAACGTTTTCGGCACTTTCAATTTCAAAAAATAGTGATTTATCTCGAGCACCATTTAAGTTTTTTTCTTTACACTATTCGTTTTCTGTTTCTTCTTTATGTTGCATCAGAAATGTTGCCAAAGCTTCGATAGGATTAGGCGGTCTGAAGTTTAAGGAATTCAAAGTAAAACAAGATGTTACCTTTCTTTGGCTATCATATTCAGACCTTTTAGAAGAACTGGAACCACAGTTTTATCTAAATAAGCCCTAGTATCAGTGCTTTTTGGATCTTGTGTATTATTATCATCTTGGGATTCCATAGTTTTGAAATATTTCAAGGCCACAAACTGACCTAAACAAGTGCGATGTTCAACAAGCGATAAGTTGTAGTCTAAATTAAAGGTAAATTGTATTCGCAGTACAAATTACCTCAGGGGAAGAATTTGGTAGGTCCATAACTTACTTAACTGAGATCCACTAGACTATGACAGAATTTGAGCGCACCAAAAAGAACAGTTCTGATGTCCTCAACACTCTAACTCTTCCATTAAACTCACAAAACAAGAAAGAAATGCCCGAGACTTCACGAAGAAGCTTTTCATGAAGAGATTCTTGTCCTTGCTGTCGTAAAGCTGAGAACCTTTGATGTTCCACCACCAATCTCTCACTAGCCTATATTAATGCCAACGACAATCAACTGTCAAGACTTTTTCTGTAACCACCACTGGTGTGTGCTAACGACAACCTTGCATACTGACAGTAGCTAATCACTTTAAAATACAGATTAAACGATGAAATTAATTACCTCGTCGATATTGGTACTGTAATCAGAGTATAGACCATCAACTTTGATGATCTCTTTCGAATGATTGGAGGCCTACTCGAGTTAGACGGAAACGGTGTAACAAACCAGTTAACTTCGAAGTCACGCCCCACAGTCAGCATCTTACGTGTGTTATTCCTTGAACCTATTAAAGTACCGTAGCTGCTTTGAAGACCGTATAACACAAAGGACGTTATTACGGAAATATATTGGTAAGAATGTCAACGACAAAGTTATCACATTTAGCCACCAATATTACACGTCACAACACTATAACAAGGCAACATGTATTCTCACACGTACGTTAAGTAGCTCCCAAAAAGAGAAAAGTCACATGCTGAATCTAGGACTTATCATCAGTTCATTGACGTTACCGTTAAACATGGCACCTGAAAGGAGTAGAAGTGTTTCTTGTACAACCAACATTCACCGGCTAAATAAAGTTTAAACTATCTTAAACATTCATTTATTACAACATATCCACTACTTGATAGCGAAATTGAACATATGACCTGTTTTCTAAAAATGAGTGACTAAAGATCAATAAGCAGAAATATATAACAGTCAAAACTAAGTATAGTTACAACATTAAAAGAATACCAAATAATGACAATAATAATACTTAGGTATTTCACACGATAAATCCATGAAATAAGGTCGCAGAAAATTTATTTTAAGAAATTACAATAAATTAACCTTATACCTTTTGGAATATTCCACATTTGTGTCAGTACCTTTACTCCATCTCCGGAATACTCGTAATATCGTCGAAAGTTTGCAAAAACAAATTTCTTCAGCCACCTTGTCACTTTATGTTTTTGTCAGCTTCACAGCTTATATTTCCAACGTGTACGTTGTATTTTGAAGTAGCGAAGAGCAGAATGTTGAGAGAAGAAAAAGCAAAGAAGTGAATTGACAACTCCGTAAACGTGTATAATATACTTGCGTTTAATAAGTATCGAAACCGAAAACAATCAGTAGTAATACAATCTAATAACTAGAACTTGAAGTTTGTAGCATAGTGTTTTGAATAGGTTGGGCATCTGTAGCCAGCTGAAAAGTAAATCAATTTCAGAAAACCAAAAGTGACTGTGTATATTTTATCGTCTCGTCAAAGCAATTGGCGGATACTTATTTTTGTCTAGCACCATTTTTGTAACTCTCGTGCCCCTTACTAAAAATTTTGATCCACCTGGATAAATCAAATTTTTCACAGATTTTCATGGAGTTCTTTCGAAATCCCACCAACTATTCGGTACTGGGTCCTTATTTCATCTCTCTTTTTGTAAATTCAAGGGTTTTTGATGTTTTATCTGCTTCCAAAATATGAATCAATTTATTTAATACAGGGAAGATATGTATATAATAATAAAAAAGGAAGAAGAAACTACGACTGCAAGTTTATGTCTAATAATAATCATATGTGTACTGACGAAAGAACATAAATATTACAAAGACTGAAACTATTAAGGTTAACTGGAGCGACTCATCACACTTATATAATTCATATCCCCATACAATAATTCATGAGGTATTTTTAAAAATGATAGGTCCTGTTAAAAGTACAAGCATAATGGAAATCTCCTACGTTTAAAATGCCGATTCAGCTATTATTATTAGTATTATTATTATTATTATTATTATTATTATTATTATTATTATTATTATTATTATTATTATTATTATTATTAGCTCTATTCAATATTATATTTTCGGTACAATATAAGGTTCTCAGAACAAACTACTTCAGCGAGTTTACATTTCTTATTTCTTGATCGATGTTGACGATAAATATTGAGTGATCGCCAATTAAATATAAGCATTTCAGAAGTCGGCATCTGAATAATATTCATTCTTTTCAATCCACATTGTCAGCCATCATGATGTCTCTGATTGTACGTCTTCGTAACTTGTACAGCAGAAGGTCGTAAACTTTTCACAAACGCACATGAATAGGTTGTGCAATTAATTGACATAATGTTCTGTTAAAACAAACAAGGAGACAGAAAACTTATTGCAATATCTAGATGGCAAGAACATGTAGCCTATATATTCAAGCAGGCTGCGTGCTGCATAGCCACAACTTTAAGGATTTGGAAATTATACATTATTTTACTTGCTAATAATCTTAAAAGATTTCAAAACATTTGCTTGATAAGTTTATGGACTTTTGAATCATGGATATTTTAGTTTGAAATCTTTTAACCGACTAAACCTAACTCGTAAGATACTTTTTGGTTAAATACCACTTACAATGGTATTTCAATTCACTTAAATATTTGTTGTAAGATGATTAGCCTGATAAGGCATAATACCCTAAACTAACTTCACCTGGCGGAAAAGAATTGGATGACTCTTGATTTTTAATATTTCTCCAATTGATGTTAAGTCTCCCTAACCGCTTCATTAAGATAAATTCAACAAAGTCTTTACATAAATCCACGACAAATGGTTTTACACATGCTGAAAGTGAGTACTGGAAAGATTGATTATTTGGTTATGACTCAGTTAATATTACTGGTACATGAGAAGGTTCATTGGTCAGTTTGTGACTTAAGTCTTCAAGATTCACCAAGTACTCGTTATGTAATTAGTGATACTATTCTTAGTAAGTATTGTGTGATTAAATGAAAGTCGAATTGTCCATATTTATTTAATACTTCAATAGTGTGCTTTATTTTCATATCTCGGTCAATTCGCGATTCGGAGGTCGATTCAGAAATTTAAATTATTTCAATAGTGTTATCAGTTATTTATTACATCACAAAATCAGATGGTCAGAAGTAATATTTTTTTTCACAGACTCCAAAGATTTTGGTATGGATATCAGGTATCAGGAAAGTGTCTACCAGATACTCTTGAAGCTAAAACAGTCTGATTTAAACCCTAAAGTCTGTCAGCGAAGCTCCTTTCTTAATTTTAATTAGGCTATGAGAAATTAAATTCAGGTGAGTCTATGTTGATTGTGACAGTGTAAAAATAATTACAAAAGGTTGTTTTAAATAAATTCAATTGAGCGAACTGAAAGCCTTAACTACAGATAAACAATGTCGGCTCATTGTTTCTGCAGTTTATATATATATATATATATATATATATATATATATATCAGCACTCAGAAAAATAATAAGCTTAACTGACCTTATAAAATTTACTACTATTCCATAACAAACAATTATTCCTGTATATATGTCTATCTATCATATACGTCCTTGATAAAGTCCAGTCATCTATACTCAACTTAACCTTTGACCCAATAAAACAAATCATCGTTTCATATAATCAGTTCGTACTTAAGCTAGTTATTACGGTCTCAGTAACTTAGACGTCATAAACTCTTGGATGACGACAATTTTATCAAACTTCTGGGGGCAACAGAAGTATATAACTTGTTTTTATGAAGAAAAGCAGTAATCCGATAGTGATGGGTTAGTAACAGTGATACAACGATTCTTATCATCCGAACAAATCTATTCTATAACTAAAAGTACTGAACGCACATAAACATGAGAATAAATAGAAAAATGGGCTTCCAGAGTTGTGATATACTTTAGAGTATAAAACCTTAAGACAAAATATCAAATGCTCTAGATTTTCATGTGTGGAAGATTTGTCTGTTTATTTTATAAAAGAGAACCGTATGATGTATGTTGCCATTTAATTACTGGTTCACAACCATCATGCAGTTTTCTAGGCGTTGAAACAAAATAAGAGGTGAAATGCTCAAATTTCTCATAATCGTGTCAAATAACAATTGTTTACATGCTAGAACAATGATTAGGACTATAAATTTCACTTACCAATGATAATAAGTCACCATTCAACAAACGATTTTTTGAAAATCTATAAAGTTTCACTCAAGTCAAGCATGAAATATTGAAACGTCATGTGGAACAATCACTGAGCAATATAGATCACTAAAAGAGTAGCTGGTTGAATAAGTGTATAGAAAGCATATATATATATATGTATATATATATATATATACTTACTTACGCCTGTTACCCCTCGTCTAGGAGCATAGGCCGCTCACCAGCATTCACCATCCAACTCTGTCCTGGATAATCCTTCCCAGTTCTTTCCAGTTGCTATTCATCCTTTTCATATCGGCTTCTATTTCCCGGCGTAGTGTGTTCTTTGGCCTTCCTCTTTTCCGCTTCCCTTCCGGATTCCAAGTTAGGGATTGAGTCGTGATGCACATTGGTGATTTCCTTAATGTATGTCCGATCCACTTCCAACGTCGTTTCCTTATTTCCTCTTCAGCTGGAAGCTGGTTTGTCCTCTCCCATAAAACGCTGTTGCTGATAGTATCCGGCCAATGGATGTTGAGTATTTTGCGTAGACAACTGTTTATAAATACTTGTACCTTCCTGATGATGGCCGTAGTAGTTCTCCACGTTTCAGCTCCATACAGTAGGACTGTCTTGACGTTCGTATTAAAGATTCTGACCTTGAAATTGGTTGAGAGTTGTTTTGAGTTCCATATGTTCTGCAATTGTAGAAATGCTGCCCTTGCTTTGCCAATCCTCGCCTTTACATCTGCATCCGATCCTCCTTGTTTATCAACGATGCTCCCCAGGTACTTGAATGTTTCCACCTCTTCCAGAGTTTCGCCACCAAGTGTGATTGGTTCGGTGTTCTCCGTGTTGCATTTGAGAA